CTGACTCTGTAAGAATTGAGCTTAAGGCTAGATCTTTGAAGTGCTACTTTGTAAAAATTCAGACAGTAGGGCAAGACCCAGAAAATATCATATTTGCTGCAGTGACGTGCTAACGGTACTTCTCCACCCAAGAAAAGAATAACACTAAAGGACTGAGGTCACTTAGGCGAGCTCTCCAGGTCATGAAGATGTATCTTGAGCTCCTTCCTTGATCTACAGTCTGAGCTCCATGAGCTGCTCAATCAAATGGAGCCAACAGTTCTATTTTAGGATCTGACAATCCACATTCATTCATATACCAAACAATTCATCAATTTAAATTATTCAATTAAATACATTTCAATATATTCACAGCATTGTGCAACCATCACTGCAATCAATTTAAACACATTTTTTCACCCCCAAAAGAAACTTTATGCCTATTAGCAGTCTATCCCTATTACCTCTCCCCCAAACTCTAACCTTTAGGCAACCACTTATCTACTTCTATCTCTATAGATTTGCCTATTCTGGATATTCTATATAACAAAAGGGTAATATGCAAATCAACCGTACCGTGGAACAACCAGTCACTATGACGTGCACTGACCACCAGGGGGCAGACACTCAATACAGGAGTTGCCCCCTGGTGGCCAGTGCACTCCCACAGGGGGCACGCTGCTCAGCTGGAAGCCAGACTCATGGCTAACGAGTGCAAGGGCAGTGGAGGGAGCCTCTCCCGCCTCCGTAGCAGTGGGAAGCAGGCCTAAGCCAGCAGTCGGACATCCCCCGAGACCTCCCAGACTGCTAGAAGGCACAGGCTGGGCTGAGGGACACCACCCCCTGAGTGCACGAATTTCATGCACCAGGCCTCTAGTCTTATATAAATGAAAGCATACAATGTGACCTGTTGTGCCTGGCTTCTTTCACTTAGCATAATGTTTCAAGGTTCATCTATCTTATAAGTATTTTATTCTTTTTCTTTCATTGAATAATATTTCACTGTATGGATATACCACTTTTATTTACCTATTATTCATTCAGT